GGGGTGCTGAAGAAAGAAACTGAAGGTTTCATTTTGGCTGCCCAAGAACAAGCCCTGCAGACCAATTCCATGAAAGCAAAAATTCAACATGTCAGTAACAACAAATGTCACTTATGCAATGAGAAAGATGAAACAGTTGATCACCTTATCAATGGCTTCAGCAAAATCTCACAAACTGATTATCTACAATGTCAGACACATTGAAAGTGTCAAGCCTAAAGCTGACCTGGCTGTGGTCATTTTCTTTCCTTTGGGACTTCTGTTTCTTTCGGGGTTTCTTTTCACATGGCTTCAGTTGACACAGTCTGGAGTTGAAGGGGGAGGGAAGAGATAGATGGGATTTTGTAGCCAAAACAAAATAGCTCTCTTATGAGTCAGAGACATTCCAATGGCTGGCTGGCAGAGGAGGAGGAGAGAAGTCACCAAGCAACCACCCAGTATCCAGATTGGACAATGTGATTTATTGTTTTGAGACAACAGGAAACTTTTACTTTTAATGTAAAAGAAAACGCAGGAACCTTCAGAGTTGGCTTTCCACCAGTTTGTGCCAAGACGATGTCTCCAAATAAACTTGTTCTTTGAGGAACCAATTTGCCTCAGAGTTCGAATGCAGCAAAAATTACTGGGAACACCAAATTGACAAAGGTCTTCTAGATATTGTGGAACTTTTGGATCCAAACAGATATCTGGCACACAACATGCCTAACATCACTATTGTGGAAAAGAAAATAGTCTGGTTCATTGATATTGCAATATCAGGTGATGCATGAATTGAAGAGAAACAACAAAGCAAAATAATGAAATACCGAGATCTGCAAATTGAAGTTGAGCAATTGTGGAGGAAGAAATCAATAATTGTACCAATAGTAATAGGAGCCCTTACAGCAATACCCAAAGGGTTGCCTAGATGCATTGAAATTTTGAACTTATCAGATCTGAATATTCTGATTTTGCAAAAAAAACACTTTACTCGGAACTGCCTATATACTCAGACATTACCTTAATAACTCTTAAGTGCTTGGTTAGGACTTATACTGTTAAGTTTTTACCAGTCTCAAACTGCGAATCAAATTGAAGATTAAATCAACAACAACAACAACAACAACAACAACAACAACAACAACAACAACAATTATTATTATTATTATTATTATTATTATTATTATTATTATTATTATTATTATTATTATTATTTATTGGTTAATCTTTAGTGAGATTCACAGCCTTTGAGGCTGGTTAATAGCTCAGCAGCTCGAGTCCTAACCAAGGACCTAGGAACTGTTAAGGTATCGTCGGAGGATGTAAGCTGTTCCGAGTAAGGTGGTTTTTTGTAGAGTCAAAATGTTCAAGTCCGGCAAATTTAGAATTTCTAAATAGCGGGGTAGCCCTTTGGGTATTGCTCTGAGGGCTCCAATTACAATCGGAACAACACACAATTTCTTTTTCCACAGTCGCTCAACTTCAATTTGTAAGTCCCGGTACTTTGTGATTTTTTCTTGCTGCTTATCTTCAATTCGTGCATCACCAGGTATTGCAATGTCAATGAACCATACTTTTTTCTTTTCAACTATTGTTATGTCAGGTGTGTTGTGGACCAAGTGCCTGTCAGTCTGAATCCTAAAGTCCCACAAGATCTTGAGTATTATTATTATTATTATTATTATTATTATTATTATTATTATTATTATTATTATTATTATTATTATTATTATCTTTTATTCATTAAACATGAAACTCAGTCAACAGAACATTTAAAAATGTATCACAAATATCATTGTCTAGCTCTGATGGTTGATACGGGTTGCTGCCTGCATCATCATCATCATCATCATTATTATTATTATTATTATTATTATTTAATCTTTAGTGAGATTCACAGCCTTTGAGGCTGGTTAATAGCTCAGCAGCTCGAGTCCTAACCAAGGACCTAGGAACTGTTAAGGTATCGTCGGAGGATGTAAGCTGTTCCAAGTAAGGTAGTTTTTTGTAGAGTTAAAACGTTCAAGTCCGGCAAATTTAGAATTTTTTATTATTATTATTATTATTATTATTATTATTATTATTATTATTATTATTATTATTATTATTATTATTATTATTATTATTATCACAGCCAGATGTTTAGATTGTCCTTGGTATTTTTATCCACTTCTCGTATCGTTTTCAAGAACTTGCAACAGGCAGATGTTTATATTTGATGTTATTAAAGTCATCATTGCAAGATGTAAACTTTTCTAAGCAAAGCTGCCTTTGGCAATTGATAGATGATGATTTTGTCAAGGCCAATGTTGTTCAAGTAATACTCCAGATGTTTTGGGATCTCACCCAAAGTGCCTATTATTATTATTTATTTTGAAATGATTTTAGAAATGGAAGCTTTGAGCCTTGTATTCATTTTTCCTAAATAAGTTATTAAACATGGTGCTTCTAAAGACTGAAAGGGGGGGCAAGGGAGCTCCATTCCCCATACCAATTTCTGTTGTCTCACATAATTTCTGCTCCTTTCCAAAACTGCAATTTGGGTCCAAATTCTTCTCCTTATTATTTCTCCATCCACCTCTTTTTCAAATGAGCTTATCTTCTGGTAAAAAAAGGGAGAATGGATAAGCAAAGGCTTTGTATCTTTCTTAAAAAGGGAATTTTCAGCAAGCAGATTGGAATATTATCTGTATTGCTAATTCATCACAAACCATGTGATGAACCCAGTATATTTCAAATCCATTTTATTTTGGCTAATGTTGAATTTGAATTCTTGAATTTAAATAATTAAATTTTATTCAAGATGATAATATTGATATCTATACAGAAGTTCTTCAAAAGAACAATTCTATGTAATATTTTGTCACAAAGTTCAATGTAAATGGATAGATTCTCCTTTAATTTTACAATTATTAAATCAAAGAGATTGGGACAATCATCCTGGGAATTGCCAGTTTAGGATAAGTGCTTTGCAAGAGAGTTGACGTAGAATGTAAAACTTTGATATGCATTAGAATTAAGATTCAGAGAAAATGGAATTTGCAGAGCACACTTGCACACTGATTCATAATATATATTACACTAATACATTACCAGTTTGAATTTCAATATGCTTTCATCACCAACATTTTAATGGAAGAATGAAAAGTGTCCTTCTGCCTGCAGGAGAGACTTAAGGTAAAGATAAACATCAGAATGTGTCAAAATAGTCAAAATAGGTACTTCAATTTCATAATGTGATAAGATACTTCAGGTTGTAGCTTTACTGTGATTAATTACCACCATTGATTGCTCTGTTTGTTGACTGGGTTGCTTTTTTTTTTTTGTCTTGGGAAACAGAAGAATATTTTGATAGATGGTTGAGATATTTGTACCACTTTATAGAGCATGAAATAGCTAGTTGGAAATGCTATGTGTACAACCAGCATGGAGGGCCCTAAACCTAAGTCAAACGTGTAACAGATATGCAACAACAATCCAGGAAAGTTTACTTCATTGTTCCTCTGTGAATTGTATAACCCAGTTTTATATATTAGTGTTTGCAATTTCTAATCTGTGTTTTCAGACATAAAGTTTGTTATTTAGCTTTGTTAGGGTAATGCAGCTAAGAGTTTGATGCAGCAGTTTAAGAAGACAATAAGTTCTAGTCCTGCCTTAATTGTGAAAAGTGATTGGGCCAGACACTGTCTCAACCCTAGAGAGACAGTTCTGGCAAGGCACTTTCCAAAGTGTTGCCATGAAAAGTAAGAGTCAAGGAAATTAGTATTTTGCCTCCTAGGTTCTTCTTAATCCTCGTCTCACCTAAAAATTCAGTAAATCTAAATAAATAAGGCTTTCTTGTGAAACTAAATAAACCCTTTCTTTAAAACTATAACCCTCCATATAGATCACTTATGGTCCTCCAGCTGGTGAGTCAAGGAAGTTCTGGTTACTAATCCTGGAATGGTCTAAAGCTATGGAAATGTTTATACTGTATATGGACCAAACTCCATTCCGGTCTTTAAATTATGTTAAAACGCAAACCCTGTCCTGTTTGATTTTTAGATGAGATGCTAAAATGTATGTTGGATACATGTATTATGGACATTTTCCATAATGAAAAATACAGTATTTCTTGTAACACATTTCATTTTTAGTTCTTTTCTTTTTTCATCTTGGAGCACATCTTGGTATAGGCAACCACTCTCACAGAGGGATTAAAGATTGTAAGGTTAGCTGTGGCAGGCTTCTTTATTTCACTATCTTGAGATACAGTGATAAAATGAAAGATAATTCCAAGTCAGAGCAGGAAAGGAAATATAAAAGCAAAAACACAAATGCAGTATTCTTGGTTCAAGTCCTATTGGAGATGCTCATCTGTTATACTGATAACGTTGTTGACCATCAGAGAAGCATTTCTAATAGTAAGAGGAGTTTACAGTCACTTTCAAATTTCTTTTCTACTGCAGTCATATGGAAAAGTAATACTTTTGGGTCACCAACAGGTACCCTCTGCAGTAATTAAATACTAGCACAGTAGTGGCTCTTTTTGGCTCTTCCTAGTGATTGTGGTAAATACTGGAGGCTTCCCTTCCTGTTCAGCTGTTTCATTCAGCATGATTCTCTACTTGGTTGTGTTCCAGCACATCCTAGTCCAGAGACAACTCTGTAATTTGAAAAAGCTGTAGCTAATGCTTGCATTAACTAGCTGGCTATATTTTTAGCATTTAAATAAATCAGTCATGCTTGATAATGATAATGTCTATCTTTTCAGTTATGGTTCAGGGATAGCATATTTGGGTTAGCTCAGATCTCTGATGGTTGGTTTTTATGAAATTGCTTTTAGTACCTTGAGTATTTGTAGCATTGTGTAGTGTTTCCTCCTAGTGTCATGTGATTGAGTGGTGTAAAAATGAAGAGAAGGGGCCTAAATTAAACTGCTTTTCCATTCTTTTAGCTTCAACTTCTTAAAATAATGGGATAAATTTCTAACTCACATATGCACAACACATGGATTTGCTGTTTTCTTTTTCTTTTTCCAGTGGTCTTTCCTTGCTTATTCTCAAGCAGCAAGGAATTAGATCTCTCCAGTTCCAGTCCCTGAAGCACATCAGTGCTGGGAATGTCTACATAACTGACAACAGTAATTTATGCTACTATCATACTATCAACTGGACCAGCCTCTTCAGCTCACCTAACCAGAAAACTGTCATCCACAGAAATAAGAGGGCTGAGAACTGCAGTAAGTATTTTGCTCATGGTTGGTTAACTAAATTTCTCTCTCTCTCTCTCTCTCTCTCTGGATATATTGTTTAGAACTAGAAAATGGTGATTAGCTACTTTGTGAAACAAGAAATAATCTAGAAAACATGCACAAAGTCTAATATTGTTACATTTGACGATGTTTGGAAATTTCTTAATAAGCCTACTTTTTTGAAAATAGTCATGAGCAGGGGTGAAATCTAAATTTTTTCCCTACCAGTTCTGTGGGCGTGGCTTGGTGGGGGGGGTGTCCTGTGACTAAGTGAGTGTGGCCAACTCAATGTCACTCACAGCCACGCCCACTCAGTCTCAAGACCCCCCCCCCAAGCCACTCCCACAGAACCTGGTAGGAAAACATTTTAAATTTCTATTCTGCCGCCTGGTCACCACCTGCACTCCCTTCGCTTTGGGTCGGGGGCTGGGGCCCAGAGACACTCCATTCACTGAAGCCCCAGAGCTGCCACCTGCTCACCGCCTACCTCAACCTTGCCATGGAGCCACTGCCCGCTTGTCCTTCACCACGTGGCATGTCCTACTCCTTATCTTTCTCCCGCAACTGGCTGCCAGGGAAGGCAAGCACCTGAAAGTTACCGGAGCTACTCTCCTTCTTGAATGTGCCGCCACCATCACCACCCTGGTCCACGCGCCGGCTGTGCAAGCGCACACCATTTATTTCATTCATTCATCAGTGGCAGGTTGGGTGTGCGCTTGTGAGGCAGGCGGTGAGCAGGCGGCAGCTCCAGGGCTTCAGTGAATGGCACGTCTCTGGGCCCCAGCCCCCATCCAAAGTGAAGGGAGAGCGGGTGGTGAGAGGGCGGGGCAAGGCCAGAATCTCTTTCTGGGCGTGTCGCTTCTGCCTTTTGGGCCACTTTCTGAAGCTGGCACCTCTGCAGCCAGCCGCTTTGCTTTTTCCCTCTTTTTCCTCATGGGAGGCTTGCGTGGTGGCACCAGCAGAAGCGCTGCGGGGAAGTGGCCCAACAAGCAGAAGCGCTGCATCCAGAAAGAAAAGGGCAAGAGGGGCCAGTGGGCTGTAGAGGCTAAGATGGGTGGGCGGAGCCTCCAGCTGCCATCACTACCGGTTCTCTGAACTACTGGCCATCATCGCTACCGGCTCGGCTGATCTGGTCCGAACAGGGAGCATTTCACCCCTGGTCATGAGGATAGGACAGTGAAACCTGGTTTGCTGAATAAATGTTTAATGCTTTCCAAGAACATTTTCTAAGAACAGGAGTTCATATTTTGATCAGTCTTTATTAAGAGTTCTCCCATCCACTTTTAAAATAGATATTACTTGAATGCAGAAACATCTTCTTCTGGGATCTTCTTCTGTCCAAATTGCTACAATGCATGTAAGGAAGGTGCCACATGTCTGGCCCTGAAATCTCTGCTGTCACTTTCACACAGTCACAAAACCTGTTTTGTTGTGTTTTAAATGTGGGGGTGGGGTAAGTAAAGTAAGCCTTTTGTATAATTTCCTGCACAATTTCCCTGTCCCTGAAAACATTAAGATTTTTTCAGCTCCACTCCAAATATAAAGGAAGTTATTCCCCATTTTCACCGACTTGCTCTTAATTAATTTATTTTAGAAGCAATCACTCCAAGTGTTTTACAATGCAAAGAAGTAAGTACAATAAAACCCATGAAGACCTAAAGGCAGCAATTAAAGAATACATATAAAAACAAACCTAGTCATTCATAATAGTAGTCAAATCCTCATTTCTAAAACCTTTTTATCTGTTGGTGAAAGACAAATAACAAGTAACACTACTTAAACTCCATGGGGCCACTGGCATCTGCAGTGCCACCATTTCCTGTCTTAAAATGTCAGAGGAACATAGCAACTGATCTCTCCAGAGATCCAGAGGCAAGTTCACAAAGAAAACAGACAGGTAGGGTTTTCAAGGTGATAATCGGGCCCTAAACTGTCCTCTGAAATGAACTGGTAGCCAGTACAGTCAATTCTATAAATATATGTGACAGATCGTGACAAGAAACCAAGAAGACAGCTCAACCATAGTGGGTAATGCCAGCAATGCTGCTGTTTGCCACTCAAAGCTTAGGGTTGTTACTCAATATGTGCATAGATTGGACTCCACAAGGAAGCACTGAGTGATCCACCATAGGTCTTCTGACACCAGCAATACATATGCAAAAGCCCAGGGGATCTTGCTAGGGCACCTTTAGCCAAGCAAGCACCTCCATGTTCTAGGTATTAGCACCTGCTATAATTGTAGTCTTTGCCATGGAATATATAAGAAGGGTTATTTACTGTAGTCTCAATAGGATCTACAGTGGAATTCACAGATCCTTTTCTTAAATTAGCTGCATACTACTTCCCTAGAAACAGTTGTTCAAAGGGCACAGTATAAGAGTGAATGCTTCAGAGATTTTCACCAGAAATGGAGAGACAGCTTTTTTTTTTTTTGCCAGCACATAGATACTATAAGTCAATATCTTTTTTTTTTTTTTAATGAACCGATCCTCCTCATTGTCCTTTGACCTACCCTTAGATTTGCAATTTCATCTGATTTCTGTGCAGATTCTCTGCCTCTAAGATAATGGCTTGGCACTTTGGAAGTGAGGATGGGTTAGAAATTTGGAATTTTAATCTTAAGGATTTAATTTTAAGGATTCTCATCTATGGCAGTTTCTCATTGACATCTCAGTAGCATCTTTGAGGGATTAGAGGTAGAAAAATAGGTTGGTTTAAAAGTCTACAGCTTCCCAATTTTTTTAAACCTTATTTTAGTTCATCCCATTTCTGCATGAGTTTTTAAATCCTTTATTTAAAAGTAAGGATGTTTTTGTATTGCTGATTTTTGGGTACAGGTAGCACTGCCCTCCAATGTTATCTTCATACCAATTATGTGGGAAAGGGAAATATTGTTCTAGTGACCTCCAGATATGGCTGTTCTACTCTTCCCCTGCACTACATCATCAACACTATTCCTTATTATGGCTAAGAGGCAGAGATGTGAATACTAGTAAAGACAGCAAAATAAAATACAATAAAATATTAGAATGACATTGAGGTGGTCAACAAATAAACTGAGTTATAATTATGGGTGACTTTACATTTGTTGGTGCCTTACTTTCACTGCTACTGAACGGTATTTGGCTACAAATTGGGTTATAGGGATTTTAGAGTCTTATAAAATTAAACTCATTTAAAAGTTATCCATTCTTCCAGGATACTGATGAAGCAGGTTAGATGTGTTGTGGATACCTCAACAGATATTATAGTCAACTGTTTCCCCAATTCCTCATGAGCAAATATGTTTTCATATAAGACCTTACCATATCTTATTGTAATATTGGTGAAGGCAAAAACTATGTTTGCAATCATAGCAATTTATTATTTTGATCTCTTTGTATCCAGTACTATTTTTATTTATTTTATTTTATTATACTTATCAGGGGTGAAATTCAAAATTTTTCCCTACCGGTTCTGTGGGTGTGACTTTGTGGGCATAGCAGGGGAAGGATATTGCAAAATCTCCATTCCCACCCCACTCTGGGGCCAGCCAGAGGTGGTATTTGTCGGTTCTCCAAACTATCCAAAATTTCTGCTACCGGTTCTCCAGAACCTGTTATAACCTGATGGATTTCACCCCTGATACTTATGCTATGCTAGGTTGTTATGACTTGTGGTTACAACAATAACCTTATTTATACCTGAAGATGTGGACAGTGTTATTGTAGGATAGACTGTGCCATCCATGGATTTGGCCAGTGTTCCTCCTTCCTTGTAAAAGCATAACAAAGAAGAGAGGAAAAAGTGAAGCTGGGAGGTGGTGTGTGTCCTTGAGAGACTGTTTGATGAACCTACCTTATAGTTGATTCCTTCGGGAGCTGTTTGCTGTGAAGGGCCCTGGAAGGTGAGCTCTGGGACTCTTCCAAAGAAAGAAGTAGAGAACACAAAACCCATTAATATAGTACTATTTTGAGGTGTATACAGTATATTATGAAGATATAAAGTCGAAGGAGAAACTACTATGTAGGAACCATTTTGGCACAACAAGCAGAGAAAGAAATGGAGAAAGAATCCTTCCTAACTTTTTCTCCAAAATTTGCAAGTTACACAACTAAAAATTAGAGTATGTTTTAAAATCCCTTAAACCACCCAAAGATGCAGAAACAAAAGGTAACAGTAAAAGCAAAAAGGGACTCAAAAAGAAAGTAACCTTAAACACGACATGGCTGCAACGACACCCAGATAAAATAAAGGACTTATTTCAGATAATGGATACTGTAAGTAAGTCTTAGGGTTGCCAGGTCTGCTTCCAAAAAATAACGGACAAGCGGGGAGGGGGTGTTAAATAGTAAAAAAATAAAAAAAAATTACAATTAAATTATATATTTTCTTACAAACATTTTAACACATATTAAAATAATCACTTCAAAACTTTACTTAAAATTCAAAACATCAAATATATTATCATAATATGTAAAATATTAAATTACATTTTACTTTGCTGTCGTGTGTATTTTTTATTTGACTGCACAGCTTTGATCAATTCCTTGTGTTTAAGGAATAATTCTTTAATTTCAGTACAACGTTGAGAAATATTAAAAAATATACAAAGTTCACTTCGAACTGATGGTACAAGCAGTCGGTTACGTTCGTCAGTCCGCAAATTTCCCATGATACTGAAAATTTGTTCAACTTTTGCTTTTGATACTGGAATTGATGCACAATACTGGAACAGTTTCAGTAAACTCGGAGCTGGCTCTTTCTTGAAAAAGTATGTCCACTTATCAAGGGATGAATCGCCCTGCAGATGAACATAAACTTCTTCTAAGGCAGAAATTTCATCGAAGTGAGTGTTGGGTGGAAGTTCTTCTCGCCATGGTGATAATAACCAGATGTTTGTCATTTCTTCTAAAGTTGGAGGATTATTGCGATCAATTAGATTGAAACAATTTAGCATCTCATATACTGAATCGGTGAAATTATACCACTTTTCTAGGTACGCAATG